ACTTGTTTATACTGCTTAGCGTTTTTAACAAAATTAGATTATTTGGCAAAATTTATTAACTCAGGAGTTTTCACATAAAAATCCCATTTATCAGCTTCCCTGGAAAACCTTGAAAATCAGACAGCCCTGAGGGAACCATGAGTCAAAGCTACACCTGTCTGCACACCCCATGCTCTCTGGTTCTCTATGGTCTTCACTCCCTACTGCATTGAATCCTGCCCTCACTCTTCATTTATGCTGCTTGCTGGTGTTTGTGACCCTTACGGATCAGTCAGGGTGCCATGTGATTTGGACAGGAAATGCGACGGGATTTCAGAAGGAATGGAGATCACTTGGAGAGCACAGTATGGTGGAAAGATTATAAGCTTTAGTGCTAGACAGATCTAAGTCGAAATACTAGCCCTGCCTTCCTCCTGCCAGCCTTCTGCCTCAGAGATACGCTTTCCCTGCAGCTCCCTTTGCTTTGATAAAATGGAAAATAGCACCGCCCTTCCGGAGTTGCGGTGAGCATTAGTGGAGATGTACATGTAGTGCCTAACATGCCTGGCATCTGGGCAGCATACATTGGTTGATCCTGTCCAAAAAGTCTGGCAGTGTGCCTTGGTTTAAGTATTTGGAAAATGTTACAAAAAGAAGCCTCGGGGTGAGGAGGAAGCCAAATAAATACCAGGTAGATGATAGAGTTAAGTCTAAAAAAGCGTATACTTTTTTTTGTTAACCAAAAATTTGGAAATGCAGTTGTATATTTAACTTCCCCCAGGATGAGAAAAGACTTGCTAAGCATAAAAACCATGAAAGAGAACCAAAGAAAGGTCAAGAGTTGACTCAAAGTTTTTGGGCTACTCTGTGTTAAACATCAACATAGTTAAAGGACAAATAGCAAATGAGAAAAAAGTATTTGCACAAAGTACGACAAAGGGTAAGTATCTTAGGGTCTGTGGTTACAGGTCAATAAGAAAAATGCTAACATCCTGTAGAACAATGGACAAAGAATGTGAACAGAGAGTTCACAACAGAATTAATGCAAATAGCAAATAGGCATGTGAAAAAATGTTGAATGGGGTTAGTAAAGAACTCCCTGTTTGAATAATGAATTGTTAGTTTTCCCCTCAATTTTTTTTTTCATCATTATTAGTTGGTAATGTTCAGTATCAGTGATCTGACCAGAAGGTTGGTACTGTAGTATTTTCCTGATGGAATAATAAATTGCTACAACCTTCTTAAGAAAGCAGTTTACTAGTATAAGTCAGACTGCTTTAAAGTTTATATCTTTGGATCCCATCATTCCATTTTTGAAAATAAATCCTTAGAAAAATACTCAGAAATGTTTTGCCTGGGATCTACTTGTAGTAGCCTTTGTTTCTTTCTTTCTTTCTTTCTCTTCCTTTCTTCTTCTTCTTCTTCTTCTTTTTTTTTTTTTTTTGGCAGTACTGGTGTATTAAAATCTCACTGTCCAACAGTGAGTACCTCGTTGCTATATTCTTAACATTAGCACAGCGACTGACATATACAGTGGTCAAAAAATATTTGCGAGTGTAAAGAAGGAAAGATATGTACATATAAAGGAATATTATATAACTCCATTTCTGAAATACCATACATTTGAGGCATAAAAACATGCTCACAATATAATGTTCAATATGTAAAGTACATGATTGTATATATAGAATGTTTCCTCTACATGCATTGCATGAATTCTGGATGATAGGATTATATTTTCTCGATGCTCTTCCTCATTCAGCACATACGTACTGATGTGTGTAATAGGCGCTGAGCATGTTTTGAAAGGGTAAGACAACACTCTCTTCACAGAGTTTATCAGAGAGGAGGAAGGCAGGCAGCAAACAGTAATTTCCATGTGTCATTTACTTTAGTGAACTCGTGTCACTTTTATTCTGTAGAGAGAAAAACTCTGCTGCTACTGATTTTCAAGCATCAATTGTTGGTTGTGATTCCTAAGGCACGTTTTTGGGACAGGAAAGGAGCAATTACATAAAGAACCTACGCAGAGCTTGTGAAACATGAAGTTACTTTTCCAGTGAAAAGAAACATGTTTAGGTTTCCTGTCTGTTGAGTGGTTAGTAATGACAGAACGACAAATACACCCAGACTTTTCCCCTAAATACCATTTTCCTAACGGAAACCAAATAGGCTGAGGTTGGGGTATAGAATTCTGGAAGGCCCAGGGCTCCTTGGGAATCATAATTGTGTGTTCAAATGAACTGGCTGTGCTTGGGGAGGAGGGGAGAGTGTTGGTCAGCATTAATATAAAAGTATATATTCTTTGCATTTTTTCATCTGCTTGTGAAATTTTGTGTGGAACACCAAATCATCAACAGCAAAACCCACCCTACAGACTGACTGTGATCCTAAAAAGCCTCTTCTTTTTTTTTTTAAATTAAGCTCTATGCCCAGCGTGGGGCTTGAACTCATAGCTCTGAGATGAAGAGTCACATGCTCTACTGACTGAGCCAGGCAGGCACTCCTGAAAAGCCTCTTTTAACTGGGATCATGGATGGAAAATTTTATCCCAAGCAATGCTTTTTTTAGGGGTATGTTCTGTTTTGTTTTGAAGAAAGACCTGAGTAAATCAGAAGGTTCACAGAGCCCTGTTTTGATAACTTAACCATGCTTAATGGCTGTGAATGCACTCCTCTAAACAGTCTGACCCTTGCTTCCAGCGTGGCTTATCCATTTATCAATTTGAGCTTTTATGCACAGCCACGTGAGCTCTGTCGGCCTTTTATCTGCTTCCTGAGTGGAAAAAGTCTCCCTGTGTCTTGGTTAAGTTGAAGGGTAGTTCTGGGCTCTGTTGGCACTCTGGCCTCAAGACAAGAAGGACGCATTTGTGAGCTTTGTGTTGTCTCAGTAGAATCCCTTGCCCTCTTTTCTGTCTCCTTCTGCAGATTAGAATGTGCTCTCTGAGCCCAGGGTGTTGGAAGGACAGATAGCAAGCAGCAGAGTGATGACATCACCTCGTGCAGTGGGTGCCCTGGGCATCGGCAACTCTTTCAGGGACTGATCAGGAGTGGCTCTCTCCCAAGTGAAGGGTCTCCCTTTTTTGCTTTTAGGTACAACTAAACGTTATACTGGATGTAGTATGTGTAAAAGCAACCCGAGGCTTTCTCTCGGGTTGGAAAATGCAGATCTTAGGAACGTAAAGTGGGGCATGGCGCTGTGGAACGTCATTTTCCATCGGGGCTGGTATTTCCCCTTTGCATGTGGAACTCTCTCTCACTTGCTGGCTCAGTTCCCGCTTCATGTTTCCAGGCAGAACTTACAGTGCTTACCCCTTCTCTTCCACCGGCCTTGGCGCCCCCTCCTTCCCAGGAATGCTTTTACTGTTCAAAGAGATCTTCGTCGCAGGCTTGGCTTCATGTCTGGGTAGCGCCTTTCCTCTCTACTTTGTTTTGCGTCCCTGCCCTCGTGTCTGTGCCTGAGCTACGGATGAAGGTCCCACTGCGCTCCCAGAGTCTGCAGTGTGCAGAGGGCAAGAGAACATCTGCTCCTCCCTTTGTTAAACCTTGATCTGGTAGCTGACTTTACAGCTTAAATCAGGGAACCTCGAGCCGTCTAAGTCTCATGGATGATGCACTCCCGTCTGTCTCTTTTCTCCAGTAGGACGTGCATCTCCTCTGGTTGGAATCCTTTCTCTCAGAGAGCCTCCTCTTGCTTCTCTGGATGCAGTGGGGCCACCCAAGGACAGGGTCACCTTCCCACCACTCTCTGGGTGGCTGAGGGGTCAGAGGTTAACGCTGCAGTGCTTACTCGCTACTGGAAAAGAAAAGGTGGCAGGCACAATTGAAATCAGTCACCGAAACCAAAAGTTGTTTCAAACATTGCTTTTATCTTCTGCCTGTTAAAGTTATGACTGTGTTCCACGAAGTCCCTGCCAAGGGTTGGGACCTGGAACTTAAACTGTTTATGCAAGTTCATTATTGTTCTGATTTTGTTTTTCCTGAGGGAAATCATTGTAAATAATTATGTTCTCAGAAGCACCCCTACAATAATAAACATAAACACAGTATTGCAGGGAAATCAATCCTGAGTAACCCAGATGCAGTCCCTTGCATCAGAAGTAAAGTAGACGGATGGGTGGATCTACCCAGAATGGAAGTGGAAAGATCAGGAAGCTCAGGCCTCAACTCTTGACAAGCTCTTTGAACTCACCCCTTTGTCAGCTGCGAAGGAGGAACGACCCTCACCTACTGGCTGTTTTGCAGGCCGGGCCTGAAGCTTCATTAGAGCACTGGACATGAATGAACTTGGAGCTCTCTGGAAGAGAGGGGCGATGTAAATACAAGGCATTTCTGTGTGAAGTGGTCAGGAGTTGTGGTCTGTGCTCCACGGCCTCAGTGGCCAGTCTGTTTGCAGCATTGTTCCGGGCAAGCCAGAACTTCCTTAAGAAAATCTTGCTGTTGACTGCTCTGCAAAGAAACAAGATTGTGTCTCCTAGACACCGGAGGAGCTATAGGAAGAGTTGTAACCAGTTTTAACATAGGCACCGATTAGTGAATTAGCAGAAATTGTAGAAAGGCAATGAGAACTCACTACACCGTGTCTTGTTTAAAAGCCCATTTTTTCCACACAGACCATGGCAAAACACAGAGCACAGCATAAAGCAGTGTAAAGAGTTCTTGGATAAATAGCTTAATTCCTTCACAGGCCGGGATGGGCTCTTCTGCGTTTTAGATGCAGATGACAGTATCTGGCGCTTCACGCGGTACTTAGTGTGCGCCGGTCTCCAGGTGACCCGACGCAGACTGCATCAGTGGAGGCTCACAGCAGCCCTGTGTGGCAGGTCCCGTCTTCATCCCCAAACTGAGGTATAGAGTGGTGACACAACTTGCTCAAGGCCAGATGGCTGCCGTGGACGGAGCCAGGAGATGAGCCCCGACGGTGTTGCTGAGGAGAGGTTTGCACTTCTAGACCATTGCCAGGTTCCATTGCATCTTGATCACACAAGCAAAAAACATAGTGCAATGAATGCTGTTTTCTAGGAAGAGAACGGAGACTACACGTACGTGGAGAGAGTGAAGATACCCTTGGATCATGGGACCTTGTTAATCATGGAAGGAGCGACACAAGCTGACTGGCAGGTGAGAACATGCACAGAATTTGGATTCATGTGGAGGCGGTGCCCTGACGGCTTCTGTTTATTTATTTCTCTAGTAAATGTGAAAAGCAAGTTGCTTTTATCATGAGCGAGTGGTGGTACAGTGACCCCATTTTCCAGGAGTTTTGATTCTGACAGTCAAAATGGACCTCTGCACCAGTGGCATCCAGTAGAACTTTCTGTGACAGCGGAAACTTTCTGCATCTTCTGAGGCCCCATGTTGTAGCCACTAGACACACACAGCTATTATTGGTCTTCTGAAATGCGGCTAGTGTGTCGAAGGACTGAATTTTTAATTTAATTTAAGTTCATTACAATAGCTTCGGGTAGCCAGTGGGTGGCTACCGGGCGGCACAGCTTCTCACCTTAGGCCGGGCTCTCTTAAAACCGGGTCTTCTTTAAGGTGTGCAAGTTCATGGAAGAACACTTAGCTTGGGAGCAGAATCTCATGTCTGTCTTTGGTCTCAGTCATTTATGTGTTGCCTTGCGAGATTTGGGAACATGGCAGGAAGCTGTGAGGAAGAGCAGCAATTAGAAAAGATAAAAACAATACCTCAGTGTGAGGGCGCTGGCTTATTGGAGTGATGGGGGTGGGGAAGGATTTGTTCAGAGAAGAAAACCTTTCTCCACAAGACTTCAGAGAGCTTACTGATGCTCGTGAGGGGTTGAGGGGGGATGAAGTCAAAATATGTCCATGTCCTCATAAATGTGTTTATGTCAGAATTATTTATATTTCCATTTAGCATCGAGTGCCCAAAGAGTACCACTCTAGAGAACCAAGAATAAACCTGACCTTTCGGACAGTTTATCCAGACCCTGGAGGGGCGCACTGGTGATGTGAGAGCTTTGAGAGAGAAGCTGTGCCAAGACTGAGCAAATCTTCCACCGTGAAGAAACTTCCAGAGGCTGGTCCAGCTGATCTCGCAGGGAGGTTGTTCAGAAGACAAGGGTGGGATTTGCTTCCCAGCTTCAGAGTCCTATTGAATGACAGCCGGCGGGTCATATTCATACTATGTTTACTGTGGGAACAGTACCCCTAATCACATCTTAAAATCACAGAGCTTCTTTAGGCAAATTAAAAACTGCTGTGGCTGTGCTCACGGTGGGTTTGTCCTTGAGCAGTTTCTCTCCTTCCCCTCCTGCTTCATTTGAGGCACTGTGAATGGGCTTTGCCTTCGGGGTAAAGGCGCACGTGTTTGTTCCTTGTGACTTCGTGAAGTGGGATATAAACATGTGTCAGTGACCCTGGAGGCCTCCGCAGGCAGGCAGTTGCCGAAACCCAAACAGAGGGGGCCTCACAGAGCCTCGTGGAAGTCTGCCTTGACGGCTCAACATCTTGGCTTCAGTGCTTTCGTGATGGAAAGCTGCATATTCTAGGAGCACTTTGTTTAACCGAGTCTCCTTCCTGGGACAGACCCAGACAGGTTACAGGCATCCGAACGAAGAGTGGAGGCCGCGTCTTGTAACCCAGCCGTCTTCAGGCAGCAGTCTAGATACTTGTAATACGAGAGGAAACTGTCCCCTCCGAGACAGAAGTAATTGAGTGATGTCATGAGAAATTTAGGCTGAAGAGCAGCAAATGTCCTGCTAGTGACAGCTGTCCCACATAGATGAGTTTCCCCTAGAGACTGACTTGAGTCATTTAAACCCAAGCCAGTGAGAAGCAGGAGCAGCCCTCTGGGGTCAGACTCGTTTACCTAATAGTTGTCTTTACCTTAAGTTCCGGGAGCCCTGTGATGAAAGCTTTCTTCTGATTCAGTGCTCTCTTAGACACGAGCTCCAGAGAGTCAACAGTCCATGATGTCACCAAGGTTCCCAAAACAGAACAGAGTGGCTGCCCTTTCTTGCCTCATAAAAATCACGTGTCTTCTTGACCTCTTGACTTAGGAGTACTGGGCTGGATTGATTCCAAACCGAGATAGGGAAAACTCGAGAGAAAGAAAATGGAATCAAATGGATGAAAACAGGACAAGAGAGTTAGAGTTTCCGTAGCTGCCTGCTGGGAAAACCTACAGAGCCTTCTTGCTTTCGATCTTGTTTCCATTCCGTTCTGGAAGACAGATTGGCTTTGGCGATGGTGGTAAAGTGCCAAAAACTGGCCAGGCTCTTCCCCGAAGTCAGATGTAACACCAGGCCTGGCAGGCCCCGCTTTCTGACAAACTCTCTGGCTTTTTGCATTGGGGTTCCCCCTCCCCCCGCCACTTTTTTTTTTTTTAATGTTTTACATGTGGGTGGCTTCTTTTTGTAAGAAATATTAAATGCTTTATAAAATCTGAGCGTCACACCAAGCCTTTCAGTGAGGGCGATGCAAATCACCATAAAAGCCAAATAAAACCTCTGATTCCTAGCTGTTTTCCTATTAAACAAAACCTGGCCAGGGTGGTAGCAGCCGGCTTCAGTTGTGAGTTTGATGCATGACATTGGGAAATTCTTCTTCCGTTCCCATAGACGAAAGAACTGGCAGATGGTTCCCAGTGTCACGGCATCCCTCCTAATGTAGGGTCACGGCCTCCCCTTGTGTCAGCTGCACATTTGATCTCTTCACTCATCGCTGCCGTGGCTGTCGGGGAAATGAGTTCCTACTTGACCGCCGGCAGCCTGAGCCACCGGCCGGGCTTCTTCAGCTGAGAACAGCGGTCTTGGCTTTTGTTCCTTGCTGCCCAGTGCTAGATCTACCCCTTATACACACATACCTTTTTTTTTTTAAACCACAAAGATAATGTCCCTTTTGAAATGACAAGTAGGTACTTGCCATAGAGTTAAAGTACAGGATTTAGGACTGCACGGGGATTTTCAGAACCTGGCAAAAGATGCCCGGGGACTGCACTGACCTGTTGCTGTGTTTTACTGGCCTTAGATCCTCCCTAGGAATTAGGGGCTGAGCTGCTTTGCCAACATTACTTGTAAAGCAGAGGAAGCAAATACAACAATGTAGCATGAAGAAAAACAGATTAAATTTTTCCTTTTTTTTTTTTTTTTGAGCTTTAATAACCTACCAGGAAGTGTCCTGGAAGCTTTGTCTATGTAATCCCTTATCCTCCCCAAAGCCTGGCCAGAAAGAGACGCTCTTCCATTGTAGAGACCAGGCAGTTGAGGCCCCCACAAGAAGGGCTAAATGATTTAATAGGACTTCCAGGCAGCAGAACCAGAACTCAAACCACAGGTGAATCCTTAAACTGCGTGCTTTTTCCTCTGCCTTGAGGAATTTAGGCAGAATTGCTGAGTGGGCATCCCTGCCCGGCTCACCCCTGGACCCCATTGGCAGAGCGGACCACCCGGCCGCCTTGTCCTCTGCTTTTCTTTGTCCTCAGGCATCTGCATCTCCTCTCTTCCTGATCAACGTTAGCAGCTCCTAGTCAGAAACCAGGCTGCCAACTGGACACCTAGTCGGCCACTTAACTAAGGAAGCTTATTTTGGGGGTAGAGAATCCAGTTTCTGGCAAGTTAAGACAAGTTCTCATCCAACCTTCCTGTGACCCAGAACAATGTTTCTGATCGTATCCCAGCAAACTCTGCTTGCGTGATCCCTTCCTCTCGATGCTCCTCTGTGAGTCCCTCTGGGGGCTCTGAGTGACACCCAAACTCAGCATCAAGCTTCTTCGTGACACTTAACGACAGCACTGTTGCAGTCAGCACACAGCCCAAAGAACACAGGTCGGCTTGTACCCTAAAGAGGTCTTCACGACAGGCGGCCTGCCTCAGGACCGTGCGCACCCGGTATCCGATTGTATCCTCCATACTGAAATCCCGATTCACGTTGTTGACTAAACCACTAGCTCTGGCCGCATGGACAGTTCATGTCCAGTTTGGAGTTACGTGAGCTCATAAACCTGACACCGCCTGTGGCACTCCATCTCTGCGGCCTCCGTGGCTGATCATGACCTCGCCCTAGTGCCTGGTAGGTCTGCCTGGACCTGGACCGCAAGTGGCCCTGTCTCCTGAATCGTGTCATGGCAGCCCCACTAGAGGGAAGCGGGTCCTGTGCTGAGCAGAATGCTCCCGTCGGAGGCCTGTAGAGAAATCCTCGACACATGACGGGTCCCTGCCCTGCTGGGAATACTTCTTCCTTGGATTCTAGCAGCTTTTACTTGGGTGCAGAATATCCGAGACCCACTTTGCCTTTTCTGGTCATAAACACTTGTAAAGTGTTAAATCTGAAGCCTTGATTGCTTTACTTTTCTGAACGATGCTTTTGAAAGAGCTGAATATTTCCATAGCGATGCGTTCTGTTTGTTTAAATCTTTACTTAACGTGGTTCCACCCACTCGCTGTCCTCAGAAGGACCTGGTCTACAACTGTCCCCTTCCCACCGCCCCATTTTCTCCTTGGAAGGAACCGTCGTGGGAGAGCCCGGTCAGTTTTGTGCTGCTGGAATCCAGTCTCAGATAGGGCGATTCCTGAGTCTGAGGGTCATCAGGGAATGACGTTGATGTTTGTTTATTAGAGCGGAACACAGACTAACGGTGCCTTTTCCCGCTGGCTTAGTACAGCTGCGCTGATTTACAAGTGCCTTTCCCAGCCTGTGAACAGAGCCCCCTCTTGGGCGGGGCTATCTTTTAGGGTTAAAGCTGGCCGAGGGGCCTGGTGTCAGAGAGCAGTACAGGACAGGGTAAGTGAGGCAGGACGCTTGCAGCCAGCATTACAGAAAAGATTGCTTCTCAGGTGAGCCAGTGCCATGCTGACCAAGGTATGTGTGACAGTGTTGTCATTACAGTTACGTCTGTGCTGTCACGCACGCACCCCCACACACTCCCTGAACACCAGGGACAGTCCCTTTTCTCAGGGGGCTTCCAGAAGTGTGGGCGTGTTCAGGCAAGATCCTGGCCACTGACCCCACTAGCTTTTAACTCGGGACACAAATTGTAGGTTTCTGGATGGGAAGGAAAGAGGAAAGCCAGAAGGGAGTTTCCAGCGTATACTGTGTTGGGTCTGGGGTGCCTGGGTGGCTCCATTGGTTAAACATCCAACTCTTGGCTTCCGCTCAGGTCATGATCTCACGTGTCATGAGATCAATCCCCGCATGGGGCTTGGCACTCAGTGCAGAGTCGGCTTGGGTGTCTCTCCCTAATCCCTCTGCCCCTGCCCCCACTCTTGCACTTGGGTATGCACGTGAGCATTCTCTCTCTCTGAACAAAACAAAAACAACTGTGTTGGACCTGTAACATCCTTAATCTGATTTCTTCCTAAAAGTGACCCTAATGAGGTCGTTTTTTCATTTTTTAATCAGCTGGAGGAGCATGTACCTAGAGGACTATCGGATCCTAAGATCTGGTGTCCTGGGGTGGGCTGGAAGAGGCCGTGGGGCTGCTTGTCAGTAGGCCTTCTGTGTTGTCTTTGGGCTTCCCCCAGCCCTGGCCCCAGGCATAGGGGACAGCTGCAGTCTTGGTCCCTTCACCAGAAGCAGCATAGAGACACCAATTGGAGCCTGGGAGCCTAGGAGCTTTTCCCCTGGGACAGGAACCAAAAAGAAGTGGGCTCTGGAGGGGCTGCGCGATCAGGTTACAGTGAGCTGCCTCCTGCAGGAGGGCCTGCCGAGCAGCACACGTGATAATCCGGATGCCCCTGAAAAGGCCGTCAGAACACATGCACCCTCCTGGCTTGATGTGGCTGAAACGTTTCCGGCCGCTGCAAGGGGCTGCCTCCCCTGTCCAAGAGGCTGGGGCAGGAAGCCACCCGCCAGGCCCTTCTCCAGGTGCTGTGATGGTTGAGTCTGTCCCCATGCCACTGGTTCCCACCCTGCCTTTCCGGGTCTGTACTTGGAGAATAGGCATGAGTGAGGCTCTCCAGGAGCGGAATCCACGCCTCTCAAAACAATGCTGGTTTAAGGGCTCTATCCTCCCTGCCGAAAGAATGTGGGATGGGTGGATAAGGATGCCACAGGCCTGGGGCTGCTTCCCAGGCTCTGGCCCAAGTGTGTTCAGGCTGCAGGACCACCCAGGCAGGTCTCAGGAGAAGTGTCTTCCTCTGCCCTTGTTGGTTAGAGAAAAGTTTTCTGGAATGTTTCCCCTGAAAATGTCTAAGGGATTAGCTACTCATTTCTTCCCAGCACCCTCTCGCATAGTAGCTTTTCATCTCCATTCACCTGCAGTGAAGGGGAAGGGAAGACAGCTAGTCCAGA